AGATTGTAGCTACCCCCCCCCCCAGCAGCAGCACTAAATGAAGAACAAGGTGGTGGTTGTCATTAGGGCTTATCTCATGAAATGCTTTTGAGTGCTCAGAGTGTGTTGCAAACGTCGTGTTACTTGTGAGAGCAGAGGCTCTAATGGGATCAGTGCTTAAGGAACGTCTGAGTTAATGTGTGTAGGGTCACACTGGGAAGTGCCACTGAGTTCAGTTGAACAGCCTTCCTGAGAAGTGCGAGAGCTAGACTGGAGTCCAGTAGCACCTTAGAAACCCAACAAGATTTTCGGGTATAAGCTTTGGAGAGCCAGAACCCCCTTCGTGTAGTTTGGTGCAGGGGTTAAGTGTGTGGACTCTAATCTGGGAGAACCGGGTTTGACTCCCCACTCCTCCACTTGCAGCTGCTGGATTACCTTGGGCAAGCCATAGTTCTGACAAGAGCTGTCCTTGAAAGGCCAGTTCATGAAAGAGCTCTCTCAGCCGCTCCCACCTCACAGGGGGGTGTCTGTTGTGGGGAGGGGGAGGGAAAGGAGTTTGTAAGCCGCTCTGAGACTCCCGAGTGAAGGGCAGGGTATAAATCCAGTCTCCTCCTCCTCTTCGTCGGACACCTGATGAAGGGACCTTTGACTCTTAAAAGTTTATGTCCTGAAAGTCTTGTTAATCCCTAATGATATAATTCAAAATAATAAATAAGGTGCTACTGGACTCCAGTCTTGACCGTCCCCTGCAGATCAGCGTGGCTCTCCTCTGGAGCCAGGAAGTGTGGGATAGGCTTCAGTGAGTTTGTAAGGCCCCCTGGCTCTTACAGAAGGTCAAGCAGTAGCTGAGGGAAAGAACTTGGCCCCTTTTCCTTCTCACTACAGTGAGGAAGAAAGGGCAGCCCTCTGCACATGATCTGCCCACTGCTCCGGTGGAAAAGTTCCCATCCCCAAACCAGCCGCTGGTCACCTGTTCCCCTTCTGGAGCTCGACTGGGTCAGACCATTGGTCCATCTAGTCCAGCATCCCGTTTCCAATAGCCGCTGGTCCCGTGCCCCAGGGGAGCCCACAGGCAGGGACCCGCAGCCCTTCTCTGGAGGCGCTGCTGGGAGCAGTCAGAGGTGTTCTGCCTCTGAGCCCCATTTAGCTGTCATCGCTCTTAAGGGCACGGCCACCTTATGGTGTTCCCCGTAGGCAAGAGATGTTCAGAGATGGTGTGCCCACTGCCTGCCCCTGTGTAGCAGCAACCCTTAACGTCCTTGGCGGTCTCCCATCCAAGTACTAAGCGGGGCTGATCCTGCTTAGCTTCTCAGATCTGACGAGATCAGGCTAGCCTGGGCTATCCAGGCCGAGGACAATCGCCACCAATAGTCCCACCCTCCATAAATCTGTCACGTATCCCACCCCCTTAATTACTGCTCACTGCTTAGGGAGGGGGGCGCACGCGCTGAGCTCTGCCGTCTCTGCACCGGGCACGATCTTGACCACCGAGGCTGAGCTTTGTGCCTGCCATGTCTCTGTGGAGGACAGCTTGCCTTGCCTGCACCCCTTGAGCACTTTTGCCTTCCTCTTGACGCTCTGGCTCTCGCAGCCCCCCAAGATGCTCTTTGGCCCCCCGACCAAGCCCCCCCCCCCCCAAGGGGCTAGCCATTCAGGACTGATAGGCCGCCAGCTGTGTGTTGGAAATGTGGCTGAGCTACCAGGATCACAAAATAACAGGTTGGGCTCCTCCTCCGGCACCTCTACCAGCCTGCCCTCCGCTGCACTGCTTGGCCACGTGCCGGATTGTAACCTCCTTTACACCACCAGCACGAGAATGTCTGTTTCAGCACCAGTGGAACAATAAAAGTTTGAATAGACGGTTTCCCAGTTGCTGGCCTTTTCTTTTCCACTCTCTTCAGCACTCTTCCCTTTTTTTAAGGCCATGAGTGTGTGTGTGTGTGTTTTACTGGATTACATTGCTTCTGGCCAAAAGTTTGATTGCCCACTCCTCTTCCACATGAAGCCTGCTGGGTGACCTTGGATCAATCACAGTTCTCTCAGCCCCACCTACCTCACAGGGTGTCTGTTGTGGGGAAAGGAAGGGAAGGTGATTGTAAGCTGCTCCAAGACTCCTTCAGGTAGTGTAGAGCAGGGTATAAAACCAACCCTCCTTCTTCTACTTGGATGCTCTCCCAAAGAAAGTGACTCCCACACAAATAAGAAAAGAATACAGGCAAGTTAGACTCTGAACTCTTCCTCCTTGACAGCAGCTTGCTCTGTGCAGGTATAGGGAGGATTTAAATGTGCAGCTTCCCTGCCCCCACATAATTCCAAAGTGGGGCAGGCCAAGGAAAGCTTTATCTGCCGATTCTGCTAAGTCTATACATTTCCTTTTGTTGTACACCCCTCCTCTAGCACTTCCAGACTACAAAGGGCCTTTTAAAACTCTCCTCTGCTGCTCCTTCATGGTGAAATTTTCCACTCATGAGAGAGGCCCAGTGAAGTCATGATCAGCGTCAGATTTGAAAGCCACAATTGTTGATTGCCAACAGGACACTCTTGATTCCTTGGCCCATGCATGCTGCCACTCGACAGCTTTAAAGACTGCGCGACTCATACCTTTTCCTATCCAGGCGCCATTTACCTGGACACAGCTGCAATTCTGTAGCCAGAATCGGGATATGGGGGAGGCTGGGCTGGAACGTGGCAATTTTAACTCAGATTCATAGCTCACCCCTATTCCAAATGCTTTGGTGGAATAAGCACCCAAAAAGCAACTCACCCAGAATAAAATTGTATTCATTTCCCAGTCCTCTCCTGATATAGTTCTGAGCCCCAAAGGGCCGTTAAAAGGAGCAGGTGTCAAGAGTATGCCCAAAAGATGCTCAGGCTCAGATTCTTGGCGAGTCTGCAGGGGAGGGAATTGCCTCCCTTGCTGCCTGCACTTCATGAATAGGCGGCATTCAGAGGGCATGTGTGGTCACTCTGCAGAGGTAGCGATGGGGCTGGCAGTAGAAAGTGGCTCCAAAGGTATCTTAAGTCTGAGTTCTTTACAGCATTAAAAACAGTGGCTAGCTGGAAATGGGCCTAGAAGGAACAGGAAGTGGCTACAAACCTCCAAATGGACGTATAACAGCTCCCCTGTGCCCCTCCGTCATCATCACCATTATCATCATCATTTCAATTTATACTTCACCCTATCCCACAAGTGGGCTCCATATACTCATAGCTAGCAGTGTGGCAAAGGAATAGCACCAAATCACACCCAGACACGATCGCAGAAGATGTAGGAGGCTTTACTGTTTTTAGGCACACCTGATGAGATTTTTGGAAGGGTGTGGCGCTGCACATTTCCCAGCATGCCATGCCCCACAGCTTGACGGGACACTGCTATCCACCCTCGGCACCAAGAACTTTCAGCAGAGGGCTTCATCCTGTCCCATACAGCTGAGGCATTGCCGCAGGAAATTTAAAAAATACACCCCACCCACCCCAAACACAGCAGCTCATTCTCAGCACCAGGAAGGAAAGGTGGTCCTCACATCGCAATTACAACAGACGGAAGCCAGAGTGACAACTTTCGCCTTGCAAAGGTTGGTAGACGGCCGGGCTCAGCATCGTTTGCCAGGAAAGAAAAGTGGTCGATATGACTTTGCTGGCAACGGTCTGGCTTATCTCCAGGGGCAGAGTGGGATAACTTAAAAAAAACACACACACCCAATGCTAGAACAGAGGCACTGCTTTTCCAGACAGCTCTGTTGCACCTTCCCTAGACTAGACAACAGGCAGGAAGCCAGGGCTGTGTGTACTCTGTGCCCACAAGCCAAAGAGCCACAGTCTGCAACAACAAAAAAAGGCAGATTGTGTGACTGGTATGAATTATGCAAGTGTGCACGCACTCATTGTGCACACAACCATCTGCCCATTCTTACTGCTTGCAGGAAAGAGCTAAGCGCGAAGGCCCCTGCTCTAAATGTTGGGAAACTCATTGAGGAAGCTTCAGAGAGTTCAGCCAGTAACAACAACATACTTTGTAACCAAAAAGGGTGAGATGCTTGAATCTTGCAGCCAATCTCACTGGCTTCGGCTCTTCTGTGCTCCCACGGAGTCAGTGGATACACAGCCCTGCGCATACCACAACAGCTTCCTGGTGCATGCACACTGGTTCACTTACACATGTGCAATTCTGGAGTGCCAGCATTCTTCCAAACACCAACATCTGCCCCTGAGGTTTTCATAAGCAGCAGGTCTAGAGGTCTTCGGCGCCACCCTTTCTCTTTGCCACAGGGTCCTTCTTAGCCTCCTCTGAGGTGGGCAGGGGCCGAGCAGGGGCCAGATGGAACTCTTCAGGTACTGGCGAGTCAGGCGACTCCTTCCGGTAGAACCCCAAGTCCTGCACAAGCTGGTTGATCTCTTCCCGGGTCATGTCACTCAATGGAATTCTCTACAAAACAAACCCAGACCAGAGGGGTAATCTCTGAACCTTGTGTAGACCCACAGTACTTACTACTGGATTCACCTTCTAATGGTTTGCACAGCACATCAGCTTATAAAATGCTGCCTTTCCCTTTCCGTTACGCAGTGGCAGAGACTGTTACCCACCTTAGCAATGAACAAATTTGGACTTTCTCTAATTTGCATAATTCTGATTTATTTTTATTTTTTTACTAGTCTTCTGCCTAATTAAAGAGAGGGGGAAAGACCTGAACAGGGCACTGATGGCTTTGAGTCAAAGTGATTTTTTTTAATCTGAAAAGCAATAAGTGACAAGTGACGAGCCCTGTGATTTT